GTTAATAAAATGGTGTGCATGTGGGTGATTAATCTACGATTTGACATCAATCCACCCACAAATAACTCAGAATCATAGTAAGTGAGTGATTGAAGGAGCATATGTGCTACCGTTCATGCATGTATGTCGCGTAGTATCATCAAGAATGAAAACTGGGAATGTAGATGTGTGTATAACAACCAAGGTAGAACAACTTAAAATAACATAGAATTTCACATATTAAAAATGTGTAACTCACATCTTAGTAAAGTAAAGAAGATGACATTCATAATAAAAAAAATATGGTACCAAAGTCGAATACTGATTATTAAGCTGCCATCGTCATTATTATAAATTTACATCTACACAATAAATAAAAACCAATTGAGAAAACTTGAAGCCCCATTTCAAATTTCCTAAATCCAGAGTGAAAGTAGGAATGACATTTTGGTCTTCACAATTACTTTTTTTTATTCATTAAAAAGACACTTACTTACTAGGATTCGAACCATGACCACTTCAAAGAAAAGCAAAGATCATAACCAATCACACTAAGTACAATTGTTGTATTGTTTTAAATTAAAAATATATAATCGCAGAGAGGAAAAAAACCATTCCCCCATTTCAAATTCCCTGCTCCAGGAGCGTTTGTAGGAAGTGTAGAATAGGGAGTGTCAATTTTTTTTTCTTTTTCCTCTGTGGAACGGGCCAACTTACCATACACATGCGGATTTAAACGGGTCCATGAGTGTCAATTTTTTTCTTTAAGTCCTTTTATTTCTCCGTGGTGGTAAAATATATATGAAAAGGCAAAAACAATACTCCTTTTTATTGCTAAAAAAAAAATTAAACTAATGCATGAATTCTAATGGGCTAACCGCTAATCATAAAATAAAAGAGTTGAATGGGCCTGACCTACACGAGATTTTTCCATTAAGTAAAATAAATGAACATTATGGGTTTGCCATTCTAAAACAAGATATTTTCTCTAGCATAATATATATTATGCTATTATTTTATATCTTAGTGGCTAAAATATAATGTATTTTAAAGTTATTCAATGGTTCAAGCTCGACCAACCCAATTATTCCAATTTTTATCATTTCAAATATATATTATGTAATTATTTGATATCATAATGATTAAATTATAATGTACATTATAGGGAATCATTTGGTATTTGTTAGTAAAAAATTAAACAGAAAGATCTATTTGGTTATTTTTAACATTAAAACGATCCTAAACATTTTCAATTTCCTTTCGAAATTCTATAGTTTGATTCCCGAATCAGTGATGTGCAAATGGCGAATTGCAGTCATCTCTTTTCTTTCATTATTTTTTATTTTCAAATAGAAAGTTTAAAAGTAAAGAATAATTAGAGTTTGGCATGGGTCAGTCAACTCAAACAGGCTGAATTTCAAGTTTTGGCCCGTTTTGATCAAGTCTAATTTATAATCACATGGTTCCCTGATACCCGATAAAATCTCAATCCAAACCAGTTTGGCAGGTGAGTCCGTGTTTACCACCATTTTTTAGGGATACAGGAACGGTGGTTCTTATCCCAAATCATGTTGTTCATTCTTGATGTCTTTAGATTTTATCATGGCTTGGCAAAAAATCAGAAAGCACAATGATGACAAGATGAAAGTTTTATAAAGTAAATTAATCGGCCAACGGGCCGAGTAAAAGCTAGCAACAATTGTGAGATGCTCATTTCCCGAAAACCGGCGGGATAGGCGATTTTTTATTCGATTTTCTGGAATTCGGTTTCTATAAAACTTACTCCACCTCATCGTATTACCAGAAACAATATTGTTTCACGAGGTAACAAGTACTTGATTTTGGTTCATAAGGTTGATTTTTGATTCGTTGCATCATTCATGTCTTTTTCCTACTAAAATTTACTATTTTTATCACGTGTTTCCCAAAAAAAAAAACTAGACAACCATAAACTATACACCCATTACATTATCAAATTTCATACCTCACCATCCTCCGGCCAAATGGTCGGGGCCACGCTTGTGCTTAAGTATATGCTAAAACAAATGTTTATTCTTTTCCCTCTCTCCTTCCAACCCAATGGGGTAAATCATAAATGGTTACCCCTGTATTTACCCCTATCATTTATGCAACCCTTTTTACCCCTGTTTACTCTTTTTACAATCTTTCACCAATTAGGGTAGACATATGTCTTATTACACTTGCCCTCAAACTTTACCACCTCCAAATGAGTGAAAACTACATTGAGGATTCATCAATTCATAAGAAAAAGACAATGCTGGAGATAAAGTTGATTAATCAAACATAATGGTACGTTAAATGCGATAAAACATTTTTGTTAAGTAAAGCCATGGTTTAAGACGGTGCCTAATTCACAACATCAAATCTGTATACTTTGTTTTTTTTTCCCTTGGGTTTCTCTCTCTCTCTCTGTTTTGTCGTTTAATAATTTGGCTTCCATGGTGGGCGCATGGTCTTATTCACGGGCAATCGTCCAAAATGGTCACAAAATTTTTATGTTTGTACAAAATGATCATTTAACTTTTATTTTTTTTATGAATGAGGTTTCTTATTCATCAAGTAAGGGACAAAGCCCTAATTGGTACCAAACTACAACCAAACGTCCCAACAGAGAAACAAACCACCTATACAACAACTACAAGAACAAGCAACACAAAACTACACACACATAAATCCTTCTGCTAAATTTAAAGCAGCAGCAACAACCCCAATCTAGACACAAACCATCATAATGAGGTGGACGGACTCCTGAATTTTCTCACAAAATTGGGACACTGTAAGGGCTTCACCGGTATAAAGCCTTCGACATCGCTCTCTCCCAAGCTTACTAACAATCGCCATCCATAACAATCCGCCCACAATACCAATTGAGGAATCAAAACTAAATTTCACCACAACTATCTCCAGAGAAGCCTCCCAATTGCTACCTATTATATGTTGTCTAAGAAATAGGAGATTGACAGTTGAAGATGAGTAGGCACACAAAAAGAAAATGTGACTTCTTGACTCAACAACACAGCAACAAAGAGGGTAAAGATTCACCATTGAAGGGTTCCAACAGATGATTCTGTCTAATGTTGAATCCTGCGCAAGAGAACTAGCTAGACAATTACTTTATCACGGGGGCACACATTGATTTTCATATTAGTTTTTTCCACTGAATCTTGCGTTGCTTGGGTCTAATGCCCTCACAAACTCTTCAAAATTGAGTATTTAGGCATAAGAGAATCACCCCAAAGAACACCATTAGCTTTGGCATGCAAGTATGTAATGGCAAGCGTTCGAGACTTGAGAACCTTTCTCCATGCCCAAGAGCATGATCTGAAGAGGGAATGTCGCAAATCGAAGTGCACGAGAGCTGGTAATGCATGAGCTAAAGGTTCTACAAAGACAAGGAGCTAGACATTATAGCCCAAAGGTGGCGAATTAAACAAGTTGTGTTCCAACTCCTAAGGGAAAGTTGGCGATTTAAACAAGATAATTGAAACCCAGCTCACCCTCATCCTTAGGGAAAGTTGGCGAATTTGTGGCTACAACTGTCAAAAAAGCGAAAGTTGTAGCTATGGAAGTGTAATTTTTCTAAAATATTTTATAAGTAAATTATGACGTGGCAAGTGAGGTTGAGTTGTCACCAACATGTGCGTTAATTTGGTATCCTAGTCATTATGCCATCAACCTAACTGGTGAAATCTCTAACACCGCTAAGTTTTTAATGGAAATTGCTAAATTTGTCAAACAACCATCAACATTTTGACAATTTCGAATATTTCAAATGTTGTGGGTATGAAAATGTATTTTGCCATTATTTTATACAAATGGGTAAATTACCTTACATTTTGGATAGTTACCCTTTTATTTACCCAAGGCAATAGAGGCAGGGTTTAGGTAACAAATTCGTGGAGCGGGAGCGGGAGCGGGAGCGAGAGCGAGAGCGTGAGAGCGTCTATATTACAAGAACTGAATCTTAAGAGCGTGACAAGAGCGTCATTATTATATTATTTTCTGATTATTTTTATATTTACAATATAATTAATAACAATGTAGTACATAGCATTAGTCCAATGTTAATGGAATAAAAGTGATTATGAAAAGAGGGCCAACAGAATTACCCGAAAAAAGAGGGCATATATTGTATTAGGGTAATTTTTTTTAATAGATTAACTGCACTTGTTATTTAATAATTGTTTTCCTATAAAAAATATTTAATAATAATTTTATTTGATAAAACTAATCGTTTTGCACTTTTTATATAGTTTTTATTTTTCTCTGTAACTTTTTATATATTTTTTAATCCCCTTATCTCAATTCCAGTTATCTCTAGCGTCACTCATTCACTCGATCTCTCTCTCTTTCCACTTTTTTCTCTTTTTTTCTACCCAGAAGGCCAGAACAAGATTAAAAAAAAAAAAGATTAAAAAAAAAAAGAAGATCAAAACAATAGCTTTCTGCATGCAATCAAAGATCGGACTCTCTGCCAGATTCTTCAATAGATCGCCTAATCAGCAAACAAAACGTTGACGACAACACTAATATGCTCAATTAGATGAGCCCAAAGTTGAGCAATCTGAATTGAATTGGATGGTAGCGGAATCTGCAGTCGCTGTTGTGGTAGCGCGGTGCGTCGCCGGCGGAGAAGGAGGCTGGAGGAGTTGGAGGCTGAAACTCGACACAACACATGGTGGAAGGAGTGAAGACGCCGTTGACGTTGCCGGGTAAGGTAGCCTGACTTCAACGGGGACGGCGGAGCCCCAAAAACTGCTGACGTAGAGGAAGGAAGAACGCGATGAGGCTGCCACTGCGGCTGCCGCTATCCAGGATCTCCACTCCACGCGGAGATCGCGCTCCAAAAATTTTAATTCGCGCTCCCGTTAATATTAATTCGCGAATTATTGACGGCTTGCTGAAAAAACGCGTTTTCGCGCGCCGGAGCGGGAGCGGCAGGGCTTGAGACGCGAATTAGGTGACCTAAGGCAGGGTCCTTTGGCTAGGACGGGGGATGCATGATTTGGCCATTTCCCCCCCTCTCCCTCTCCCTCTCTCTCTCTCTCTCTCTTCGTCATTTATGCAAGAAAAAGGCCTATATATATGCACACTTCTGCAAGCCTCTGTCCATAGACTCAAAGCTACATAGCAACAACAACAGATCAGCAGCCCATATCCCCCCACTTCCCAACCTCCCTTTCCCCTCCATCTGTTGTTTTTTTCTGGGGAGGTGTGGGGCGTGCGGATTTACCCCTCTTTCCTTTCTTCTTACAAACACACCTCTTCATTTATCTTCCCTCCATTCCCATTCTCCCTCTCACCTTTTGCAAAAAATTTCATCAATGGCGGTTCTCTTGGTGGCGGTTCTGGTTCTTCTGGTGCTCGTCCTCTGTTTATCCTCTGCTTTACTGTTGAGGTGGAATGAGGTCAGGTTCAGCAAGAAGAAGGGCTTGCCCCCTGGCACCATGGGATGGCCCATTTTTGGAGAAACCACGGAGTTCCTCAAACAAGGCCCTAACTTCATGAAGAACCAACGAGCAAGGTCCTTAAAATCTTCATCCTTCTCCGTTTCAGCTTTTTTTGGTCTTTTTTTTTTCTGTTGCCGCCATGTTTCCAAGCTCCTATTTGCTTAGATTGGGAAACAGGGGAGACGCCAGAATCGCTTGTCAAGTGATTTCCTTTTGTTTGTTTCAGTTGTCAATTAGTTAAAAAAAAAATTGCAACAGTGACTTACAAGCTTATAAAAAATGGCTTCTTACCCTTTTCCCTCCCTTTATTATTATTATCTGTCATAATGGGTGGTAACAGATTAGTGCTAATATTGGTTGTAATGCTAATAATCTAGCATTTTCTCTGTTTTGTTTTCTTTCATTTTCTGTATAAAGTATTGTTAAAGTAGGGATTTTGAGAACATGGGTTCTGATTTGGGTTGGGGGGTGTGCTGTTGTAACAGGTATGGGAGTTTTTTCAAGTCCCACATACTCGGCTGCCCGACAGTGGTATCAATGGATCCAGATGTGAACAGGTACATACTGATGAATGAAGGGAAAGGGTTGGTTCCAGGCTACCCACAGTCGATGCTCGACATCTTGGGGAAATGCAACATTGCAGCGGTTCATGGCTCCACCCACAAGTACATGAGAGGCGCTCTACTTTCCCTAATAAGTCCCACCAGGATCAGGCACCACTTGCTGCCGACAATTGACCATTTCATAAGAACCCATCTCTCCAATTGGGATTCACAAATCATTGACATTCAGCTGAAAACCAAGGAGATGGCGTTGCTCTCCTCACTTAAGCAGATAGCTGGGCCCGAATCTGGCTCGATCTCGGGGGCATTCATGCCCGAGTTTTTCAAGCTTGTTTTGGGCACGTTGTCGCTCCCTATCGACCTTCCTGGAACCAGCTATCGACGAGGGTTCCAGGCTAGGAAGAGCATAGTGAGCATTCTAAGGCAGCTGATAGTGAAGAGGAGGGAATCCAATGGATCCCATTTGGACATGCTGGGTTACTTGATGAACACTGAAGAGAGCAATAGGTACAAGTTGAGTGACGACGAGATTATCGATCAGGTTATCACGATCTTGTACTCGGGGTATGAAACTGTCTCGACTACTTCGATGATGGCTATCAAGTATCTCCATGATCATCCTAAAGTTCTTCAGCACCTTCGAGTAAGTCCCCTCAAAAGAACCGAGTAAAAAGAAAAAAGAGATCAACTCAGTCACATTTCTTTTTTACTGATGGATTTTGGTTATTCAATTTATATATGCAGGAAGAGCATCTAGCAATTAGAGCTAGGAAGAAGCTTGAGGATCCACTTGACATGGATGACCTTAAGTCGATGCGTTTTACCCGGGCGGTAAGAGAAGCTTCTGATTCCTACATCTTTCACAAAGTATGAGATTCAAGCTGTTGAGAAATGATGTGCTGAGCCATATGTTACTCTGTCATCTACTTTTTTCCAGGTGATATATGAGACATCAAGGTTGGCTACCATAGTTAATGGGGTATTAAGGAAGACAACTCAAGAAATGGAAATAAATGGTGAGCTACTACTATTCAAGTGTAATGTCAACTCTAGATTCTATTTGCTTTTTTGGTGTATGGAGGGGCTCAAGAAGGGAGAAGGGGGCTGATTTTGGAGATAAAGTTAAACAGCTAATTATACAACTGTGCTAAAGAGAAAGAGGCCGAAAAAGAAAGAACCAAAAAGATAACTGCTCATGGGAGAAATCAAGATCAACATCTCTTTTTCCATGGTGGACCTTAGTTGCCCTATTATGATTTGAATAGCACACCTACTTATCCAGCTAGGACATTCCATTGGTGCCCCCCTCGCCTCACAAACTATTGGTTAAAATTACTCGGAAAAGGGGGCATCTTAAAACAAGTGAAAGAATCTCAAGTTTAAGATGATTAGATCATTCTTCACTCCCTTTTGTCCCCCTCCTTTTTCCTTTCTCTTGTGCATTATTGGCCTTTTTGCTTGTAACTCAGAGAAACTACAAGCCATTCAGTAGTGGGTCATAACTTGGTTAATAGTGGGAGTGGGGAAGGCCTACTCTCTTCTTCGCATTATTGAATTGCCAACTCTCTTCTTCTCTACATGTTACTGGTTTCTCATCTCTTTTATATGTTACCTTTGCTCCATCAGGATTTGTGATCCCAAAAGGTTGGAGAATATATGTCTACACAAGAGAGATGAACTATGATCCATGCCTATATCCTGACCCATTTTCCTTCAACCCATCGAGATGGCTGGTATGCTTGCAAAACCAGTAAAGATTTGATCTTTCTTATTGTCTCTAAAAAGGGTTCTTTTCATTTACTAATAATCTTTTTATGTTTGGTAAATTTGGCAGGATAAGAGTTTGGAATCTCAGAACTATCTCTTCATATTTGGAGGGGGTACAAGGCAGTGCCCTGGGAAGGAACTTGGCATAGCAGAAATCTCAACATTTCTACACTACTTTGTGACTAGATACAGGTAATAGGAAAAGTGAAGACCCATATCCTATCATAGCCTCCTTTGAATATATATTCCTCTCCAAAAGAAGCCCTCTTTTGCTTACTTGAGGGTTTTCCAAACTTTTTGCAGGTGGGAAGAAGTTGGAGGGGACACACTAATGAAGTTTCCAAGAGTTGAAGCCCCAAATGGGCTGCATGTTAGGGTTTCTCATCTAAACTAATCAAAACCTAACCCTTTCCACGTGTATATAAGAGATGAGAGAGAGCTAATATAGCAGAGAAAGAAGGAGAAGGAAGGAGGTTGTACATTATCATGTCCTAACCAAGTTAGAAAGTAGAATGGAAATGCAGAATTTCCATTTTTTTGGATCTACAAAATTGGAACTGATGGAAACTTGTTCTTGGCCCTACATTATTTTTTTCCAATCTCAATGTTGCCTTCGAATTACCTTGGCTATGTTTGGTTAATTGAGAGCGACCAATGAGTGAGTAACCTGATGAGTGATTGTTTTCTCTTTGTTTCCCGAGTCTATAGTGAGTTACAGACAGAGTTAAAAAAAACCAAATTAGTGAATCAACCATGATCAAACATTTAACCCCGTCCATGGAAATCGAACTTAGTGAACAATTGTTTGATTATTTTGTATGATCATTCATAACAAGAGTGTAGCTACTTTTGATGATTAAAAAAACCTGATGAGTGCTTCAATGACCACTCCAATCTGGCTAGGGCCCTCCATAACATGTGCAGGTGATACGGTACCTAAGTACCATTCATGAACACAGTTCTGCTATTAGTCCATTATGCGCAGATCCACTGCAGAATTTTTTGACAACTTCGTTTTTGCTTTTTCTTCTCTGCGAATACTTTTAGGCATGTTACAGACCAGGGTCAAATTGGATGATCATTGTGAAGCGAATGTGTTGGGTTAGGGTCTTATTATTGTGGGCTATAAATCTCCATGTCCAACTAAAAATGGATTATCAGTTATCACTAGGCCGATGAGCCTTCGCAAATAATTGGGCTCAATGGTTGAGGCCCACTTTAAAATTGAAAATTTTGTGAGGTTCGCCTTTCAGCTGCCAAATAGTTTTTTTTTTTTGTGTCGAAAAGGAACCTATCGACCGTCTTCTAATCCATTGCAGGTTAACTCAACACCGGTGCCACAATTTCAATTTCGTTCTTTCTTTGTCATTTTCACTTCATGGAGCCTTCTCCAATCTAGTTCAAGTATGACCTATTATGGTTAGTCACGGACTCACGTTCTTTAATTTCAATGATTTTTTTTATTTATTTTAGTTTTACATGTTGATTCTTAGTTTATAATGTTGAAATACAACAAGTTTTTTGGTAAGGGTCTAAAGAGTAGAGTTTGTTTTGCTAAATCTCTAATGTTGAGACTTAGGGGTCGTTTGGAAGTTGCGATTGTTAAATAGATGTATTGTTGAGAATGCATGTATAATATTATACATGTATTGTCGAATTTGATGCAATGTAGAATACAACGTTTGGTATGTGAGATTGTGTATGTCGCATAAGCTAAAAACTGAGACAAAACAATCTCAACTCAACAATCTCAACAATCACAACTAAAAGTTGAGATATAACAATCACTCAAAACGAGTGATAGTTTCTGTCACATCACAGAAACAATCCATGTATTGTTTCTGCTAAAAAAACAAAAAAAAACGATGCATTGTAAACAATACATGCATAATGACAATCTCAACAAAACTATCGCAACTTCCAAACGACCCCTTAATTATTTATTATTGTTGGGCACAACATGTCGGTTTTGTTATTTGCATCATTTTCTTGTACTTCTCTTGTTGGAATGCACACTTTGTGCATTACTTCCTTTTGTTAATATACATATCATAAAAAAAAAACAACCATGCAAAAGGGAGATAACAAACACATGTGACTTGTGAGCCGTGACCAATATATTTAGAGCATGGACCTTTCACCATAGGAAAAAAAACGTGTCATTGATTGATGATACAATTAATAGGGAGAAGTTACAATTAGTTGTTGAGGTGTTATTGAAGACGAAGGCATTAATTTCATGATATTTTTCGCACAAGTTATTAACTAAGTCAATTACGTTAGAAATTCAATAATATCATTACGAATACATGTGCACTCTCTATCAACGCTCTTGACATCAATATTTCTGTTAGGCAACACAATATTAAAAGACTATTATAAAAAAACATAAAAAAACATTATTAATGATAAGGTTTATTGCATTTGTTACCAAAAGAAAACGAGGCAAAGAGAAAACTGAAAAAGTCTATAATGTTGTTTGGCAATGAGAGAGCATTTTGCTCTCCAAAATTGTGTTGTCTTTGAACAGTTCTTTCCAACACTTCAACTCCTTCTCCTTATAATTCTGCCACATTTCACGCCTTCTCTTCCCATATATATAAACTTCCTTTGAACAATATCTTATAGCTACATCTCCTTAGTACCCAAAACTCCATCAATTTATCTCCTCTTGGCTCAAACTTGCTCTTGTTTTTCATCTCCCAAAACTACACAACATCAACAATGGTCGAGCCAGCAACCGATACAAAATCGGCTGTGAGAACGGTCGCTTTGTTGAAAGATGAGCTCGACATCGTGATCCCAACCATTAGAAACTTGGATTTTTTGGAGATGTGGAGGCCGTTCTTTGAGCCTTACCATTTGATCATTGTTCAGGATGGTGATCCTACCAAGACCATCAAGGTTCCAGATGGTTTCGACTATGAGCTCTACAATCGTAATGATATAAACAAGATTCTCGGCCCTAAGGCCTCGTGTATCTCGTTCAAGGACTCTGCGTGTCGTTGCTTTGGTTATATGGTGTCCAAGAAGAAGTACATCTTCACCATTGACGACGATTGCTTTGTAAGTTTGTGATTTTTATTTTATTTTTCTTTCCGAATTATTTTTTATTTTCATAATGATCTTGAAGTGTTATGAAAAAAATAAGATTTGATGTATTTTTTTGGGCCGATGCTGATTATATTAATTTTGTGGATAGCTCATGTAACATGTTATATATGCATTTGTAAAATTGATTTAAGCGAAAAAATAGGCGATTTCAGGACCTGAACTAGAACTACTAAATCGAGATCATCTGTAACTAACTTTATTTCCTATCTTCATGGGTCAAAGTTAGATTTGTGATTGGAAATAATTATTTTTTATATAGTACTATGGGTTCACTAATGTACTAGTTGGAAATATACATGTGTTTTATTTGATTAAAAGGTCGCCAAGGATCCTTCAGGAAAGGCAATCAATGCTCTTGAGCAACACATCAAGAACTTGCTCTGCCCCTCAACTCCGTTTTTCTTCAATACCCTATACGACCCTTTCAGAGAAGGAGCTGATTTCGTTCGAGGGTACCCTTTCAGCCTTAGGGAGGGTGTCCCAACTGCTGTCTCTCATGGCCTCTGGTTGAACATTCCTGATTACGATGCACCTACTCAACTCGTCAAGCCTCTCGAGAGGAACACTAGGTATGTGAGATCAACTGGTTCTCGTCATATTGTCGCTATTTCTGATTGACATAAAGATTGCATACATGTGCTTAATTTGCTAATGCTTAGGTATGTGGATGCTGTGATGACAATTCCTAAGGGCACCTTGTTCCCAATGTGTGGTATGAATTTGGCCTTCCATCGTGAGTTGATTGGCCCTGCAATGTACTTTGGTCTCATGGGCGATGGCCAGCCGATTGGTCGTTACGATGATATGTGGGCTGGTTGGTGTATCAAGGTACGATCAATCTATCAAAATTTTCTCGTAGTACTAGATGCATAACGCTGTTATTAGTGATATCAAACTAGTATGTCTCAAGGTGGTTCCTCATACTAGGTTTTTGTGTCATCGAACTAATGTTTGTATGTATATTCTAGGTGATTTGTGATCACCTAGGGCTGGGGGTGAAGACTGGTCTTCCATACATCTACCACAGCAAAGCCAGCAACCCATTTGTAAACTTGAGGAAAGAGTACAAGGGCATCTTCTGGCAAGAAGAGATCATCCCATTCTTCCAAGCTGTGTCACTTCCAAAGGATTGCACAACTGTTCAAAAGTGTTACATTGAGCTAGCCAAGATGGTGAAGGACAAGCTTGGCAAGATTGATCCTTACTTTGATAAGCTGGCTGATGCCATGGTGACTTGGATTGATGCATGGGACGAGCTTAACCCAACTGGGGCGGCCAATAAGGGCAAAAAAGCTTAATTTCATTGATTAATTAGTTTCAATTTTTGTTTGCTTTACCGTCTCTTTGTTCCTTTTTGTTTTTTCTTCACACTTGGGAGATGAGAAGTTGATAGTTATTGGTCCATCTTATGAGTTCATGTCACTTCCTATTTTTTTTTTTTATGTGTGTAAGTCTTGATTATGAGATTTGCAATAATAAAATTGTTGTTGTGGTTGAATTCCTTTTTCATCTGCCTTATTATATATATATATATTTTTTTTTTATCTCATGGGTTGAATTTTGTACAAATGCTAATATATATTGTGCTTAAACATGGATTGGTGTTAATATAGGTTGTAATGGTTTAGCGGCCTTTCTAATTAAGGACTCTAACAGACGGTATTAAAAACCAACTAAGTCTAATAAGTTCAAGAAGAGATTTTCTTATGAGAGACTAACATATACCACATTTGAAATTTGTAAAAGGCGGCATACATACTATAAGAAATGCATCTATGTATTCAAGTTTAGAGGTGAAATTATGCAATTGTGAATACGTTATACAACTAACTCTATTACTCATGGCAAAAGAGAAACCATAAAAAAAACTTGATCATATATGACTTAATAAGTTGATATGCAAACATGAAACACTTGTCGTTTCAATGGAAAAGCCACGAGGCTCGACTCATGCAGATCAATTAACATAATTAGAACACAGACGAAACTAATTAAAGCATGGAAGGTATTGTTCATCCGCGTAGAAACAAAATTTAGATGAAAACAAAGTTAGGCGACTAAATATTCATAACTTGATAAGAGAAACATAAAGATAAAGATGACGATAACAATGACCATTTTGTTATAACCCGAAAAGTCTAGTGAGCACTTTGTGACATTTCAAAGTTAAGTGATCAATTTGTAACGTTTGTCATATGATGGGTGTCGCAATGGCTTTATTTGCGATATTCCTATCTATTATTTGGAGATTTATAATTCTTCGGTGAGGTGAAAATCAAGTAGACCTGGCGGTTGAGTCGGATTGAGTATTTAGGATTAGCTGCACGTAGTTGTCAGATGATATCAGGTTGTTTGAATTTGGTGTTAGATACTGATTCACTCTAAAATTTCAGGTTGGTTCTAGGATTTTTATAGCTTATGAGCATCATCGAAAACAAGAACAAGTACATTTGAATTTTCGAAGAACACAAATTTCATACACGCATGACAAAAGTTTATCTAGCACATGACATGACAATTGCATATTTTCAAATTCTCAGGGTTAATTGCATGGTTGGTCACTGAGATAACAAAAAAACGTTCATGTTTAGTCACTAGAAATATTTAAATCCGATCTTGGTCACTCTAATTAGTTAAATGGTTCAAGTTTGGTCACTCTCCGTCGAACTCCGTTAACTCTTGCTTATGTGGCAGTCAGCTTTTATAGTTGACCGCTAAATGTCCGACGTGGCAATTAAAAAATAAATTAAATTAATATTTATATTTCCACCTCATTTCTAGCCGAAACAGGGATGGTAATGTTGACCGACTGTCACTTCCTGCCATACTCTGATTCTCCTAGCCACTTCGCATTCATACTTAGCATTCAGTTCGCCCCGGCGGCCATTAAGACTGGAATCATAGCTCTTGCTGTAAGCTAACATTACATAAGAGAACATGGTATATTCTAATCTCAGGAAGGAGTAGCAGTTCGGAGGAGCTAATAACAGCTTTCTAATGATTCTGGATCGGTCAGCAATCGGTTAGAAATGAGGTGGAAAGTATAAAAATTAAATTAAATTAATTATTTTTTAATTGCCACTTCGCATATTTAACGGTCAATTATAAAAGTTGACTGCCACATAATCAAGAGTTAACGGAGTTGGACGGAGAGTGACCAAATTTGAACCATTTAATTAATTAGAGTGACCAAGATTGGATTTAAATATTTCTAGTGACCAAACATGAACGTTTTTTGTAATCTCAGTGACCAACAATACAATCAACCCCAAATTCTCACATGAAAAGACAAATTGCACAAAAGCATAAAGAAAGGGCATTGCTATTCGTCGCCCTAAAATACCTTATTCGTCGCCCTAACTTTTATTAAAATGACTCAAATATCCTTACCTTCTCCTACCTCATCCTTGCCTTCCACCGAGTCTTTTCTCTCTTTCTTATCATTGGCACAGGTCAGGAATCCATCCCATGCTCGCCGGAGACAGAGTTTCAACACGTCGGCATCTGGAAAAGAAAAAAAAAAAAAATAACCCTAAAACCGTCTTCCTCATTCGTCTCCTTCCTTTTGTTCGGAACAGAAGAATCCGGCAGCAGCAATAGGGAAGCGGCGGTGGGCAGGTTGAGATGGGCAGTGGGCCGTAGAAAAGATTTCCCAACAGTTCTTAATTACTTTTGACCCATAATTATTCCAACAGTTGTCGGAGTTCAGTTTCCATGACAACTGCACCAAGCAAAAAAAAAACTAAACTAAACTAAAGAAGAAGAATCATCACCATCAAAGCTCGTGCAAGGGAACTACACCAAACGTGTCATGTTTACTTTTATTTTTTTCATTTGTGGAATTTAGTCATATATACTCTTCTTCCTCCTCCTGCTTGGGATCACTTCGACAGTAGAAGCAAAGCGCCGGTGGAGATCGGGTTGAGGTGGGCGGCTCCGATAGAAAAAATTGACAGTGACAGCAGCGGCCACAGACAGAGGATTAGCAGGGATCGGAGGGTAAGAGTGCCAATTTGGTACATTTTAGGGCGATAAAATTTGAATTTTAGGGCGACGAATAGCGATTCAGTAAAGAAACACCTCGATGGTAACAATATTACAAGAAACCCATTATATTTTACCTTCCTTACATTCCTAAATACTTTTTTTTCAAATAATTGTATTGTTTTAAACAATGTATCAATTTCATGAGTGATTTATCATTTTGCCGGAAAATAGTATCAGGTTCAACCCAAAAGTACGGTTTACTCAGAGCCAGATCATTTCGATTTTAAGGTTATAAATAGCTTGAACTCAATTTTGATTTCTCGGACCAAGTGGATCGTTCATATCTAGCTTGTTCTAAAAACTAAGTGACCATTTTGGCGACATTTCGAAGTTTAGAAACTATTTCTATCACTAGTTGAAACTTAAGTGATGATGTCTGGTTAACCCGGGAAAGTACCGTCTCGCCCGCTGCGTATAAAAAAGAACACAAAAAAAAAAAAAAAAAAAAACTGCAACACCACGCGACAGGCGGAAGCGAAGGGAGGAAACATGAACCAGCAGCAGCAGCTCGGCGATGGAAGGCGACACGACGATGACGCAGTGCTCGCGGAATTCCTCTCTTCCTTAATGGATTATACTCCCACGGTGACTTACCTGACTCCCTTTTCATCAACCCCATTGAATTTCTGCTCTAATTCCTCTTCCTTCTGTAACCAACGCTTTGTCTTCTTTCCCCTCAGATTCCCGACGAATTGGTGGAGCATTTCCTTGGAAAGAGCGGATTTCACTCTCCCGACGTTCGATTGTACGTCCGTACTCCTTCTTACCCTCTTCACTGGTGTTGCTAAGATTCCCTTTTCACAATTCATCTTCAATTTCTGCTGTTTAGGGCTTTCTGCGTTTTCCTTTCGATTCTTGTTTCTTTTTGCTGGTTTCTCTTCAAAGTCTTAATCTTTTCGCCCACTTTCCTTGCCTTAGGGTTTTCAATGATCAACTATCCCCCAATTGCTTAGTAATGTGGTTCAGTAAGTCTCATCTTGCGGTGAGAGATTGCATCAAGTGATACCAATCTTAGTCGGATAAACTCAGTGACCTTATGAAGCTGATTAGGGTATCAGAATTCGTTTAGGAGAACTGGTGAACTGTTCACGAATTGTTCTGCTGTCCTTTTGGCTTTAGTGTTTCTGCTGATGATGCTTTTTATTGCTTATCATTTGTGTGCATACTATTGATACCCTGGTTTGATGGTTTAATCGAAATTGTGTATCTGTAGATTTGTTTGTTCCATTTGGGAGATGTCTATGGATAGATTTGTTCCTTTAGAATGTGATTCTCGATAACATATTTTCCCGATAAAAATGCACGACCTCAGTTTGTGACGTTGGCATTTCTCTTACTTGACATGCTATCCATTTTCAGAATCAGATTGGTTGCCGTTGCAACTCAGAAGTTTGTTGCTGATGTTGCCAGTGATGCTCTGCAGTAAGTAACCTAGCTTTGATGTCTGCATTCAGAAATCCAGTTTTCATTTTCTTCCCTAATTTTTCTCCTTTTCATTTTGCTCAGCTGTTCAACTATAGACCACCTCTGTGTCAAGCAACATATATATGTTTTCTACTTGTCTTTGGTTGCACTTGTTCAAGCGTTTGACCTAGGAGCATGGAATTTCCAGTGTCCTTTCAATCTTTGGCTGTGGCATAGGCTTTCATGGTATTGACAGCAGTTACTTCAGAAATAGTGCAGATGCCCCTGTATTATATTATTACGTAATAACATTTTGATTCAGTCTCAACTTGTGAATTGCTTCTCTTCGTTTAGGACTGTTTATAAATGTTTTTCTTTGTTTATGTCTCACGATGTATAATGAGTTAATGACTGCTGCTAGTTATGAATATGAATTCTGAGACGCAATAAATATCTGGAAGTTAGGGTGAACTTTAAATATCGTGCTGAAAACTTTGCAAGAAGCTTAGCTTCTAAATGCAGTGATTTAGCACTTGTGCAATCTGTTAAAAGAAAGTATGATTTCATATTGTCTCACTTATGTGATTTTACTGGAAACCTATTTCTTGATCTTCAAGTGGAGGGGAGATTTTTTTACTCTTTCTGTTGATAGTTATAACTTTTACGATTTCTGTGCAGGCATTGCAAGGCACGCTCAGCAGCAGTAGTTAAGGACAAAAGGGATAAGCAGGCAAAGGTGTGACAAACACATTGGTTCTTACTTTTGTTCGTTGCTAGGATCTTATAGCTTCCTTCCGTGCTAATTTATCGTCTCAACAGGACAAGAGGCTCGTCTTGACAATGGAGGATCTTTCAAGGGCTCTGCGTGAGGTAGGCATTGCCATTGTCGCATGTCCCATTTCCTCTTATCCAAAATGTTGATTGGAGACGTTCTTCTGAAGAGATTTCAGAAACTGATTTTGACAATTTTGTCGTATTGTCATTGCCGCACGTCCCATTTCCTCTATCCAAAATGTTGATTGGAAAAATTCTTATGGAAGAGATTTCTGAAACTGATTTTGACAATTTTGTCGTTAAAAGCTGAAGGTTATTGAGACATGTTCTCTTTCTGCATGATGTCATGTGTTGAATCAATTCGTTCCACAACATGCAATTCCTGACTGTTGCTTGTGATCTTTTGGTGGCCAGTATGGTGTTAATGTTAAGCATCAAGAATATTTTGCTGATAGCCCTTCAACTGGAATGGACCCTGCTTCAAGAGAGGAGTGAGAGTCTACTGCAGATTCGTTCTCCCTCTTTACCTTGCCTTTTGGTGATACAATTGATAGTTTATCAGCTCTCCCTCGTTCTCTTCTCAAATGTATGCTTATCCTGTGATTTCCTGTACTTCTGTAAGGACTGCAAACCAATCAAGTGTAACAGCAAGAACCATGGCACCTTTGCAGCATGTTTACTCTCATCCGGCAGTTCTTCACATGATAATGAATGAGCACTGTAAATACTGATTATGGTTTCGTAACAGTTCAACGCCTGATAAACTTTGGATAGTAAACTTCTCACTTCTATAATGTTACATTGTGGATTTGTGGTGGATGTGTTGGGACAGATTTTAGGGTAGAACCGGACAATCGGCTGGTTTTTTAAACATATATGAAAATGACAAGCATGGAAATTTATAATGGGTTATGTAGCTGTCCATTTCCCACTTGGAACCTACGATGCATCCTAAACTTTCATAGTCCTTCCTTACAACCTTGGACCTTGATTCCAAGATACAGTTGGACAAAATGACCGTTAGAAAACAAGACGTGTACTTATGATCTAGTTATATAATTATTTTCGTAATATAATGACAAAATTAATTAATCGGTCAACTTGTCCATGTAGTGACAGCATACAACGGACGATCGTGCCAGCAAATCATCATGCTCGTTCTATCACTCACAATCTTATACCCTTCCTTCCCAAAAGCACCTACCATTTGCTTGGCATCTTCATCAGAGTTGTACCACATTCGGACCGATCGAAAGCCAGCTCGAGTCATCCTCAATGCCCATCTCGAGAATCGCTCATGCCTCTCCACCCTATCCAGCCCTTCATATGCCACCATGTTCTCAATCTCCCTCCCAAACATCTCCTCCACCATAATCCGTCCCTCTGCCTGCTCGCTAGTTATCCCAGTACTACCAAATGTTGCGTCTATCGAGTCAAAAACCGCACTATAGTAATGTAACCCATCAACAAATCGATCGACCAATCGACTCGAGTTGTGGTCTGCTTCTTGCTCCACAACAAACAACGCTTTGGGAGACATCGACCGTATCATCAGCAAAAATGTATTCAATCGCTTGCCATTTCTAATTTCGTTATCGTTATCATAACTAGCGTTGAATCTATGATGATCGTCATCATCATCAGCTAGAAGAGCGTGGAGGTTTAGTATGGAGATAAACGCGAGAGCCTCACCGGTTCGGATCTGGAGCAAACCCGGTGTGAGGTCTTGAGCGGCGACATTCAAGGGAATGAATTGGAAAGGGAGGTCAAGAACCTCTGCTTCTTTCACCAGCCTATGCCCTAACTTCTCCAGCACGGTTCGGTTGCTTGACACACAAGTCACCTTCAAATGCGGCGGCCCATTGGACAGCCGGGCGAAGCTACGGAGCAAGGGAACCCAAAGCTTCGGATCCCCCGACCCGAGGTCGACGAGGTGTACGACCCGCTCGTGGGTCATGACCTGGAGCAAGGTTCGGGCTATGATGGCGTAGGCGAAGCTGAGGTAAGGGAAGGCTTGGGAAAACAGGGCACGCGCCGCGGAATCGATGTCATCAACGACCGGAAAACGGCAGCGGCGCGTGTGGTTGACGGCTCTGTAGATCCCGGGCCACCGCCTGATCAGGAGGCGCGTGGCGAGTGCGGAGGCGAAGTGGGCCGCCAGCCGCTGCATTGAGTCCCCGGAAACAGAGGCGAGCGCCGATATCTGGGAGAGACACGCGTCGGCTCGGTCGAGGTCGTTGGCGCCAGGTGTCGAGGCGTGGTTGGCGCATTTGAGGAGGAGCTCGATGAGCCGGATCCCTCTGCCTTCGGGAGTCTCTCGGGTAGTGCTCGCCGGACCGGAGACAGAGGAGGGTGATAGCGTGAGTGACAAGGTAACATCTGGCTTCTGCAATGGCGATGGGATCATTGTTTAGAGAGCGAGGGAGAGTAATTAGAGAGATGGGTTTGATTTGGTTTAGAGGGTTAATGAAGGATTAGTGGACAAAGGGTTATAAATGGGGTTGAATTAGGAGCATATTGTTGGAAGGATTGTAAGGGTGCTAAGTGAATGAGTCCAAAGATTTGAACTTTAGGTGCAGAGTAGCCATCTGAAACGAATATGTTCTTTGGGATTTTGTATTTGTGTAGTGGTGGGCTAAGATATGGTTGTTAATTTGCAGAGAGGGCCTGTGTTTGATTGGAATTTTCCCCATTTTCGATTGAGTGCGATTTCTCTGCAATTGTTTGTGGTGCCAATCAAGTTTGTATGTTGATGAGCCTAAGGAAAGAACCACAGAGAAAAACAGAGGAAGGGCAGATGGCCGGATAGTGAAAAAGCGGTATTTGGTTTTCTAGTGTATATAATACATAGGGATTTGGGTAATTTGGATCCAAATCATTTTGGTAATGAAGTGTCAAGCTAGTGGATGCCAGTCTGTGAAAGTGAGATGGATGATGGATTGGATCCCATTTAAGCATTGTGCCTTAATCACCATGACTAAGTCGCTCATGGACATATGATGTTAGGGTTTTGAGCTTTGATCTAATGGACTGAAGTTGAATAGTGGCAGTGATAGGAAGTTAAAATTTGGACCCTTTAAAGTTTAAAGTCACATATCAATGCGATTGCCAAAAACTAGTGTTGCATCAAGAAACTTAGTGGAGTAGTAATTACTGATGTTAAGTAGTGGTGGTCATCGATTACTATACTTTGAGTTGTTCATTGGTAAACATTGATGATATTGCTTATGAGACGTTAGTGGTCTTCCTAATTGGTAGGGATAAGACATTCAAATTGTAATAGTCACCGATATTTATCCCCGTCTAGTTCCCATATTTTCTTATCGCTAAAATTATAGGAGTTTGGTTTTATTTATAGAAAATGAAGGGTGCGTATGAAGGGACGCAACTCTTCAGGTGAGTGGTTACACCCTAACCATTGCAATGCATGGTTGGTTTAAAGTTTATCAACCATTGCATCAGTTCAACCCATGAAATTTGGACCGGTTGGATTATTCCAACCACCATATATGTTCGGTTCGATTTAATTCAACTCGGTTTGGTTTGGTCTGTTACACAAACCATTTTAGCCAATTGTCAACATATTATGCTAACTACGTAAAGGGCTTGCTCCAATGACATTCCCTTGAGTCCTAACGCCAAGCACTAACTCTAGCCATTAGACACCCTCTACCAGCTCGAAAGTTAGAAGGCAAGAAAGATGTACGTACGTAACAACGAGACTTGTATATCTAGTAGTTGGATTATGTTTTTGTATTAAGTCAACCAAGAATCTTGATGTTGATAATTGTGTATCAACAAATGCGTAGAAATTGTTCGTGACAAACAAGGTTGTACAGCTAGTCAACTATAGATAGCCAATGTGATTAATTAAAGGTTAATAGTATTTTGTATCCTTCTACTATGCTAAATTAATAACATACCCTTTTATTAAATTTTTGCACTAACATACCCTTCTGTTAAGTGGTCGTTAAAGGGGTTGTCAAATGACACAATTGTCCCTCATTTACTCTTAACACACCTAATTTCGATTTTAATTATTTTATGCATGAAATTAATTAATTAAAAAAACCAAACCCTAAACTAATTCACACACAAATATCGTCCGTCTCCCCTAAACTCTCCGCTAGCCCTCGACTCGGCGGCGACGCCTGCTCCGGAATCTCCTCGCTGGCGGCTGGAGTAGAGAGAATGGTCAATAGGCTAGGTTAGTGCGATTACCCAAGTCTGGGTCTCCTTTATCGATTCACTATCGGAGTGCGCAATTACCCAGCTGGAGGTTAGGTTTGTGCGATTGCTCCTGATATGATCCCAAATGGCCAACTCTACACGTTTTTATTACTTGATGAAGAAGCAAGCTCAAACTGCCCGAAGAACACAAATTCTTGTCCAAGTATTTTAACTGTTTCAGGTGGCCTACTTTACAAGCTTATTACTCTCAATTGGCTCGGTGGAAATTCAATTTAATAGCTTGTACTAAATATGGAGTGTACCTCTACACATCGGTATGCTTGGAAACTCAAGGGGAAGTCCAGAAATTCATTTTCCAAGCTCACCAAAATTCCCTGTCAACACAGAAAAACTGCCAGAATTTGGCTAAGGCAGAAAACATGACTGTGAAGCCTACTTCGGATGTTAATTCGAGAAGAATAGATGAGAGTTGAGTCCAGAGGCTTCTACCACATGAAATTAATTAGGTATGTTTGTCTACAAAGGCAAGGCATTGGATGAAGAAATAGATATCTGGAAGGCCTCGAACGAAGGACTCAAAGATCATCCAAAGTCACAGAATTCCGCCCTTGTAAAACAGAATTAGTTTTCCTAGTTCAATTAGGATTAGGTTCTTTTGCTACTTTTTAGTTCCTTTTCGTATTATATTGTAATTAGGACTAATGAGGACGTGTGTAACCCTAGCTAGGCCTATTTAAACGTCTTGTTTCATTGTAAAACTTAGAGATTAATCGATTGAATTAAAAACTTCGGTTTTGTGCAAGTTGCGACTTGTGTTGGGTTTTTTGGTGGATTGCAAACTTGCTGAGCTTGTGTATCGACTAAATAGTCTCTTCAATCGTGGTCGAGCAACTACCCTTTTATACCATGCGAGCTTTTCCCAAGTGTGGAATTATCTGTTGGTTCCATTTTATCCAATTCCATATTAAAAACGCGTTGTTCTTGATTCGAGTTCAATCAGTCTTCGGATTGATTGTTTGCTGCGTAATTCTGATCAAAAATACCCTTGGTGCTTTATCGGTTCCTGTCTCTCTACCAAATCAAGTTGGGCTAGGTAAGTGATCGGAGATCCCACCCAAAAAATGCCCTGATCAAAAGAGCCATGCAACCAGATGGAAGAAGCAAGAAGAGTTGGATGATCTCTCATTGATTGAGTGTGAATTTGTTTAGTGGCTTTATTTTTTAATTAATTGATTTGGGACCTAAAATATTAAAAATTAAAATTAGGTGTGTTTAGGATTCAATGAGGGACAATTGTGTCATTTTCCAGCCTATTTAACGGTAACTTAACAGATAATTAGACAGAAGGATATATTTGTTACGTTTAATATTAGAAGGGTATGTTTGTGCAAAAATTTAGTATAGGAATACATTTGTTAATTTGACAAAGTTGAAGGGTACAAAATGCGATTAACCTGATTAATTAATGATTAATGGGAAGTATGAGCTCATTCATCTTTGACTATCATTAATGGTTCTTTGTTTTATAGGGAGTAGTAGCTTAGCTAGCTCTCCCACTAGAGCATCATAATTAAGTTAATAAACTTCATTGACCATATATGTAAGGTGTGATGCCCAACATTTTCTTTGTCTTATTAAATTTGGTCTCTAGGTTGGCAGTGATGTTGGACTTGTGACCCACTGCATTATTCTATAGTTACCCGATCCATCAGCTAAGTCACCATATTGGCAGAAGTCTGAATACATAAAAAAAAAAGGAAGACTAAATTTTTTTTGGATCAAATGCAAGGAAAAAAAAAAGGTTTAATCTCTTGGAAATTTCAACGCAGTTATTCCTTTCGTTTGGAATTATTACAACGGAAATGTAAACTTCTTAATTTATTACTAATTATAAATCATTTGCTTTCACTAATTCGAGTAGTTTAGAGATGTCCATATATGAGTTTTTAGCACTTATTTACGATCACAAATTATGATGATGAATAACTCTATAATCTTATAATTATAGAATTTTATTACTTTCTATTCAATCCTCACTAAATGAATCACTTATGGTCAATGTAAAAATGTGAGTGCCAACATTGTTCACTCCTTTGATTTTTTGACAAACTGAGACACCTTTAAAATCAAGATACTAGTGTAAATCCACCGCACAATTCATTAAAATATAAATTTCTTAAATTGTGTTACACAATCAAAATCTCTAATTTCATCTCTTATTGTTATGCAATTTCGTTTTTATTCTTTTGAACCCTTGAGATTGTGAAATATCTCAAATCCATGGTTGTGCATCAAAATTTAAAGTACCAAATTTGTAATAAACTCACATCTTGAAGTGGACGTCGACAAATCCTTAAATTTTGTACCACTTTGCCTACATCTCGTAAGTCATTCAAACCTAAATCCAACGCCCATATGATAAAATTTACTAATATATAATTTTTCTCAAATCCAAAATTTTATTACATTCGTTCATTCTCCAAATCCAACATCTAAACTAGCCCTAATTAAATCAATTGGTCAATGGTTACTATGTGATTGCCAACACTATTCTCTCTTTTGTCATATATAGCTCCTTGCATCCACAACCAGACAACTCCTTGCAAGAAATAAATACCATTTTCCTGCTCGATATGTTACGCCTAATTTCATATCATTGATGATCTTGTTGTACATAGCCCTTTCATTGATCCATCCAAACAAAAGTGGACAATGGAGAAGTCAAATGGCGCGCGGATGATACCAACAGAAACATCCGTTCAAAAGATGAGCGATGGTTTGTCATTACATTTATGCAGAAAATGGCCTAATTGTTTGAGCGTAGGATTCAATATAATTAAATCCCGGAGTGCATGATTGACCCAACACATCGACCAAACATATATCACTGCCTGCATACAAGCTTGGAAACATGTAAGATAGAAAATGTCTACCGTAGAATCAAAGTCTGTTTACAATAGTTCATAATGATACACAAAACAGACCACCAAAGGTTGTTGCTGTGCAGCTTACAGTATCGCTTGGATGCAAGGTAAAAAAGAAATGCTGCATGCAATAGTAGAGTGTTTCCTCTCAGATAAAGGGTTCGAGAGAGAGATGACAAATAACACGAACGCTAGCTGCTGCGTGCTTATGTTATCTGCAGAAATCATCATCATTTACATATATGATCGCTAGCCACAAAAGTAGAATACTTGGTTGGAGCAGTAGGCCATCATCGATAAAGATGGTTTTGCAGTCTTCTTATGATAGAAAATTTCAAACCGAGGCAATATTTATATAGGGAGAATGCAAAGCTGCCAATGTAGCTCTCCTCTTGGCCCCTCCAAGTAAATATGAAAGCTACTGAGAGCATTTTATTAGAGCATCCATCCGGGAACAAACCCATTCACTTGCTGCTGCTGATGCTGCTGCTGCTGAGCATGAGTTGTGGCAGTCATTTGGTCTGTCACTACTGGACTATACCTGCAATGTCACATGCATAAGACCATTATTTAGAAGTTGGTTCTTTTATGATAAGAACCTTTACCGAAACTATAAGGTAAATCCTGAACACCATAATCAACGATTTCTAATCACAGCAGTTGATGATGTTGGGAATAGAGTCTAATCGTCACCATATGATAGTAGGAGATTTGAACAAAGAGATCTCAATGTCTAAACTCTATGTCATATGATATCATGGGCAACCCACACTCATGAAGGGTGTACATAATGAAAGTATAGGTGATAGTAGTGAAATGAAGAATTAAAACCTTTGAAATGAAGAGTACCCGATCTGCAAAGTTGGGTTGCAATCTAAGTGCTGGAAAAACCCCTGGGATTGAGCATGTGGATTATGATGTTGGTCTCCATAGGACATGTTGTGATCCTCTCCTTCCCACGAAGGTCGCATGCTGTTCCTTGAACAGATTTCATCCAGCTGCATTTTACAACCAAATGAGTGGTGATGAGAGAAATGTGGAACATCTCTGACAAGTATAAAAAGAATGTATAGCTAGAGAGAGTAGAGCGACCTTTATTGCCAAAGCTCTATTGGATTCAAGCAGCAGCTGCTCCTGGTAGTCAAATTAAACCATATACGAAGTGTGAGCTTCCCCAGAAGTTGACAAAGCCCAAGTACCCAGATTGGCAAGCCTGTTTCTTTGTAGCTTTGGGAGGTGGGATTGGGATGAGATTAGGAGATTTACCTTGTTTTGAAGATCAGAGAGCTGGTCAAGCATGAACTGGGTCTACAAGAAGAAACTTTCAGTCTTATCCATCTCACACAGGTAGCCATGGAAATATTATATATTGGCTGGTAACATAATGGTTAATCTACCTTAGTGGAGCGGACTTGCTTCAATGAACCTTCCAGCTGCCGCTCAAGCTGCTCCAGCTCCTTCGTGTTCAGTGGGCCTAAATCCTCCCCAAGGAGGTTCCTGCACCACCATCATCGTCATCGTTAACCAAATCTTTGCATTGAACCACCATGCACGTCTCAAACGAACTGCTAATGCACCATCTCATTTTTCCCCATATATTTATTGATTACTAGCTATATTGACTTAATCTTTACCTCTGGGTTCGTTGTAGGCCTTCATATCTACCCTTCAGTTTCAAGTACTCACGATAGTTGCTCTGTTCATTAAGAAATGTAGCCAGGAATTCATTAGCATAAAACTCCATGCAAAGCTCGTACTGGCACATTATCATGAGTCATGACCCTTCACTTCTATAGCTATAGCAAATCAACGATTGAGACATAAGACGTATAGTATACTGTATACCTCGAGCTCCTTTGCAGGTTTATTCACTTCCACCGCCCCATAGCTGCACTTTTGGTACCTTTCCAGTGCCTTGAGCATGCTGAAATAAGGATTAGAAAATTGGTAAAATTAATTACAGGAACATATGACATTCAAATACAAGGATACTCAAATTACAAAGAAAGGAAACAAACATACTAATATCCGATATAAACAATCTAATCAAAGGTGAAACCGCCAACATCATTCCAGATTTAATATCCAGGATTATGTTATTACTAAAACTGCTCTTGACTAAATAGTACATCTTTATTAGAATGCAAGCATACATATAAAGCACAATGACCATATACTATACAGTATAACTATAGTATATGGCGGCAGAAAATACTATTTGTACACACTGTTCATCTCATAATGAAACCCTAGCTAACCATTTGAATGTTAGTGTGAATTGAATAACTAGGTGGGCTTAAAGTGGTATTTAAACAGTGCAATGGGGATGCTCTTTAACCATGCAATCCCTAATTATGATTTCATAGCACAAACTTTCACAAACAGGAGATTCTATATTAGATTTCTTTTGAGAAGAGGGGAGTTACTCTCTATTTTGATATGATTGAATGACATTCCCACTGTTTGAACCGCTAACTATTTCCAATGCTCCGAAACTAGACAGATTCGCCTTGCTAAAACAAAGCCCCCTAGTTTCACCACCCAAAAAATAAAAAAAATAGAAAAAGACCGAACCCCCTTTTGACAATCCTAAACGTGGAAGAAATAAAAAAATCACTAGTAGGCTAAGCTATGGGCAAAAGATAAACATATATTTTACACTTCATTTATATAGATCATCACTGAATTCTTCGTGTTACAGTATTGCTAAACTAGTAGTTCACTAGATGATGATAAAAACTCAAAACATTTAATAATACACTATGAAATGTATTATGTGATTATGAGTTGTAAAATACACAATATTTATAATGAAATGTAACAACGAAAAACAATATGAAGTAAAAGAAACATGTATTCTAAAAACAAAGGCTAATTATATGCTTGCCAAATGAAACATAGTAAATTTTAAGTTGATTTGGTTCTACATATAATCTACGCATGAGATAGTCTCACATAACATATAAACTCTTGTTGATCAGCATCATTGTTAGTTTGGTTAACTAATTGATACTTGATGACCAATTATGAGCCTTCTTTTATTAAAAGTTGTGTCTACGGATCCCACAGAGAGAGAGAAAGAAAGAAAACTTGCAGCAGCATCAATAAGGTGAAACCTTGAATTGCCTAACAGATAAACTGGTGAATCAATCTCTGACCATTTATCTCTCTCACACTTTATAAACTCACATCTCAGACTTCTAAGATCACACCCAGCTGCCTGCATTCTCTGACCCTCTTTCCCATTTTCCTTTCTCTCTTTGCACACCCCATTGACACATAGGGTATTAGCAAGTTCCCATGTTATTGTTCCCCATGTTCATCATTACAACATCAACCAACTTCTATCAAATACTCTTTCTTCCCTTCAAGAACAAGGGAAAAGAGCCCCCTTTTCCCATGTTTGCTTAGAACATCAATAATTAAGTGTATATTTCACAAGTACGGATGATAATTATGGACAATATTTAGATGTTTATGTGCCATAATTGGATGGGGCCAGCATTGGAAACCATCTAAATTCTCCCATAATTACCTTGCATCTAATAAGTAACCACGGATTTATGATAGATCTAATCCAAGTACTGGAGTGAGAAAAGGGAAAAGGTTCCAAGTTAGGCTAAGATTTCATGGACAGGAACCAAAAGCAAAACAAGCCCAGGAGTAAGCATAGATCGATCCACAAATAGATCCAACAGCAAAAGAAGGTAGATGAGAACTTTGACAAGAAATTGAGATGAGAGAGAGAACGAGTAGAAGACGAAGAAGGAATAATGAAGAGGTGTTTACTTATTGGTACTGCAGAACTCATAGAGCTTGCCGCGGTTGGAGAAGATGATGAGAGCAACCTCAGCATCACAAAGTACAGACAGCTCATAAGCTTTCTTCAGCAATCCATTCCTTCTCTTTGCAAAAGTCACCTGCCTGTTTATCTTGTTCTCGATCCTCTTCAGCTCCACTCTCCCCCTCCCCATATATATCTGACTTTCTTCTTCTCCTTCTTCAGCTAGCTGCTCCTGCAAATATCTGAATTCTCCTTTTTTTTTCTTTCTTTTTCCTTATTTTTTTCTTTTTTGGGTTTGCAGCCTTTGAAGCAACTTTAACCTACAAGGAAAAGAGGCAAATATATTTGATCAAGTAATAACCTTTTATGTCAACAACAATTCAAAGTTCTTATCTTTTGTTTGTAGTTTATACCTTTTTGTGTTGTGGTTGTTGGGTTGAGTGGTTGCTCCAAGCTAGCTCCTCTTCTTTAAACAACAATCAGCTGATTTCTCTGCTTGCTTTCAGGTTTCAGTGGTGAAATCCAAACCAAATTTGTGAAACAACCCAAGCAAAGAGAAACGCTGATGATTCTTGGGAGAAGAAAGAAAGATCTATAGGGTAGAAACCCTAGAGAGTCTTATCTTAAAGGATCCAACAAAAAAGGACCCCTATCAAGCTAAAGAGAAGAAGCAAGGAAACAAGCTTCCTTTCAAGCTATAGCTAATGGAAAGATGAGAATTTCTTGGTTGGGTGGTCTGCTAATTTCTTTCCATTTTTCGATCTATCAGTTTTTTAGATCTCTTGAGATAGGAGAAGATAGAGAGAAGAGAGAAGGTATCTTGTTTGCTTTTTAACCTCAGCTACGCAACCCAGCTGCTATATCTCTCTCTTCTGTATTATTTCTTTCGCTGTTGGGTTTTATGATTTTCCTTTTTCTTCTTCTCTCTTTTAATCAGCACCACCCAGCTTGATAAATGAGACTGTGAGAAGGAGAAAGGATAGAAAGAGAAACAGTGTCTTAGGGTTGCTCTTTGTTTCTTTCTTACCACTACTGTGTAAACCTCTCTTTTGCATTAATGTTCTTCCTTTTCCCGTCAACTTTGCCCCTCCATCGCTCCCTCAAGCGCCTGGCCCACACGCTCCTGCTAATTACTGCCCCTTAGGCCTTAATTAGGGTTTATATACACATGTAGCGTCTGAGATTAGAGATGTGATGGCTAATTAACTATGGACTGGAACTTATGCTATGCTTTTGCTGAAACAAGTTTTATAGTTTGTTTTGGTTTACAACCATGTTCAGTTTTAGTAGGGCTGGCTATTTGGTCCCGGACTGTTTGGTTTTACCTGAAACCGGACCGTATAACCCGGACCGGCACCGGATTGGGACCGGATAGCAAACAATGCAATCTCATATTCGGGCTTAGATTTGAGGTAAAAAATCGGATAAAGACCGGATAAGAGACCCCCAACACCTAAAATCAAGATAAAATTGGGACCGGACCGGGTCAAGATCGGACCGGATCAAGACCGAACTATATCCAATCCAATCTTTGGTCCTTATATTCCCGAAAAGACCGGACTGAGACCGGATCAATTTGGTCCAATTTAACCGGATCGGACCGTATAGTCACCTCTAAATTTTAGAATGGGTAATTGGAGGATAAACTATTAAACCTCTGCCCGCATATTCACCTGACTTTGCTCTATCTAATATCGTTTGGGATATAATGATTCAATTCAGTCATTTTGTAAATGACGTACAAGTTGCGGATTGAGAAAATCCAAATTTGATCCTAGCCAAAGAAATTAAAACAATATATACATTTCGTCCTTGCAACTTGCAAGTGTTTGTAGGTATCCTCTTGGACACCCGAATCGACGATAGAGTTTAAAGAGCACTTCTACTATACTATAAAGTATTGGTGCTTTAATGTATAACTTAAAGTTGTACCATAATGTTAAATGTATAAGTTCAGATTGTACCATAAGGAAATTTTTACTATTATGTTATGGTACAACTTTACAACTTGAAGTTGTACCATCACATAAAGGTACAAGTTCAAGTTGTACCATAAAAGAATTTGTACAAAAAGTATAGGTACAATCTGAAGTTGTACCATAACGTTAAAGGTACAATTTCAAATTGTACCATAAAAGCAAAACCTTATAGCACCAATGCTATATAACATTGTAAAATTTCTCAGAGTTTAGAAAAAAATTTAGATTAACTAAGAGGAGAATTAGATAGAATTGAGAATTAGAGTTCTTGAAAGAAATGAGAGATAAGATGAATAATTCTAACGATTCTTTGGTAGATTTTTCATTTATTTCCTAACAATTGAACTAAAGTATATTATATAAACTCAGACTCGAAATCTTAAATATCAAAATGCACATAAACTACTACTCGTACCCTCAGCAACAAGTTTATTTAAAAATTGAGTGGTAAAGTAAAGTCGGATCATAGCTCAAACTTAATTGCAGAAACCAAAGTTCTCATCATTTAAGCTCACGGTTGAGTGATAACAATTAAGTCGGACCAGAGGTCAAACTTAGTTCGTAGAAAGGATAAATATTTTATTTTAGTCCGAACTATACTCATATAATCAACTTTGGTCAGTGATTTCAGAAATTATCAACTATACACCATATAAACTCAATTGGCTCGACTTGTAAATTTTCCTCAAATTGGACGGTCAACATCATTGATCGTTAGTGAATCAACATGCTATGATGATGTGGATGCCATGTGGAAAATACAAATTAATAAAGATTTAATAAATTAAAAAATTAGTAAAACTTAAAAAATGCTCTTCTCTCTCCTCACTCGGCCCACACAGCCCCATACCTTTCCCAACCATTCTTCCCTGATGATCCGTCAACATCACCGCTCCTATTTCAGTCTTTCTCCCCACTTCCACAAATTTCCTTCCACCGCTGATCTCCGGTCGCTCTTCTTCTGTTTCCCTTCTCCGCCATTTCTCTCTTCTCTAGAACTCTCTCTCACATACCCAGTTGTTTCAGAAGTTCCCGGCGGGGGAGAAAGTCGATCGAAGGGGGATGTAGAGCCGAAGGCCGATGATTTGATTGGTTACCCACTGCCCAGATCGAGAGATCCCCAATCCTTGGATCTAAGATCAAGAAAAGTTAGGAGTTCGGACGACTTGGATTGGGAGTCACGGGAGGCGCCGCCGCTGATTTCGAAGGGGTTTTAGTCGCTTGAGGGAGGGAGAGACGGTATTGTCGAGGATGAGCTTATGCACTTTTCGTTGGAGCTAAAACCCAGAAGTTGAAGCTCTTGGTAGAGGGAGGAAAGAAGTGGATTAGGGTGGATTTTGGGGGAGAAGATGATGGTGACTTTGAGGATTGGGATTGCAATATCCCTCTATAATATATAGCAGTACTTTAGGAGATTTTTAGCATTTCAAATTCCTTGCACTCTCCTTAATTGTAGTTGGGGGTAAATTTGTAAATTCAACTTAGAACTTAAATATCTTCTTACGAGAAAAAAAATGTCTCCTCACTCGGCCCACACAACCCCATACCTTTCCCAACCATTCTTCCCTGATGATCCGTCAACATCACCGCTCCTATTTCAGTCTTTCTCCCCACTTCCACAAAATTCCTTCCACCGCTGATCTCCGGTCGCTCTTCTTCTGTTTCCCTTCTCCGCCATTTCTCTCTTCTCTAGAACTCTCTCTCACATATCCAGTTGTTTCAGAAGTTCCCGGCGGGGGAGAAAGTCGATCGAAGGGGGATGTAGAGCCGAAGGCCGATGATTTGATTGGTTACCCACTGCCCAGATCGAGAGATCCCCAATCCTTGGATCTAAGATCAAGAAAAGTTAGGAGTTCGGACGACTTGGATTGGGAGTCACGGGAGCTGCCGCCGCTGATTTCGAAGGGGTTTTAGTCGCTTGAGGGAGGGAGAGACGGTATTGTCGAGGATGAGCTTATGCACTTTTCGTTGGAGCTAAAACCTAGAAGTTGAAGCTCTTGGTAGAGGGAGGAAAGAAGTGGATTAGGGTGGATTTTGGGGGAGAAGATGATGGTGACTTTGAGGATTGGGATTGCAATATCCCTCTATAATATATAGCAGTACTTCAGGAGATTTTGAGCATTTCAAATTCCTTGCACTCTCCTTAATTGTAGCTGGGGGTAAATTTGTAAATTCATCTTAGAACTTAAATATCTTCTTACGAGAAAAAAAATGTCATTACAAAGATTTGAACTTGAGTCCTTCAAATTGATAGTTCATATTGCTAACCAACTGGACTACAACAATATTTATGTATTTCTTGAATTAAAGAGATAAAATACTGAAATATCTCAAAATCATAAGACTATCCACCGCGACAATCAATCATCGAGTTAATTAATAACTGTAATTATTTACAAAGTGAATCATCATGATATACCTAGCTTTATGAATCAACTAAGTGAGTTTCTCTAATCACACAATTCTTCACCAAGAATCAAATACTACATTTTGAGTTTATGTATGTCTTACAACTTTTACATTTATTAGGTTACATGACTTTGTAGTTTGTAGGAATACAATGATTGTTTACAAAAGTGATATACAAAATTTTATTTCAGAACATAAAATTTGACATTTGTGATATATGGTTTTGTAACGAGACATTTTCAGTGCTATATAAGTGAATTACCAAAAATCATTGGCTAACAATTTATCTAATGGTTGACAATTATAAACATAGAATTGAAAGACTAAATACCATTGACAAATGAGCTCATTATCATTGGCTAAATTTAACAAACAATGGTATGTATATATACATTGGAAATTCTATGGTACGCTCGATGGATTGAGGGTCATTGCATCTCCTTAGTTAAATAACATTATCTAGACCATAGATTAATAACGTAACTAAACCCTATATCATAATTCTCTAAATCCTAATATAGTGCATATGGTATGTTGTATACATCTTGGCGAATCATAATCATTGATTATGTTCTTAGTATATGTGATATTAGGGTTTAAGTTCTATAGATTTAGGTATATGATTTAATTATTTGAAACTTAATCTCCCTTTCCAAATTTCCTGCAATAAGAGGGAAATTAGGAAGTACATTTTTGTCTTCACAATTATTTATATTTTTTATTTATTTACAGAAAAAGATAGACATATTGAGATTTGAACCATGGTCACTTCAAACAAAGTGAAAGTTTAAAATCGATCAGACTATGTAGATTGTTGTATTTTTTTAAATTAAAAATATATACAAAGCTAAAATATGAAATTACATAACTTTTCAACAGTTAGCTAGCCCAATAAATATTCTGTAAGTACTTATTTGGTGTTTTGATACTTCGATTTTGATATTTTTTATTTTAATTATAGTTTAATACTTAATTTAAAATTTTATTTATCTTATAAATAAACGATAACCATAAATTTGCAACCAAAATATTATTGGTTCGAATATTTCATATCGAATTATAGTATTGAATTTGTAGAAGCGATATAGAATTCTTAAATTACCATTAATTTCCAAAATTATAGTGAAGCAATCATATCTTTGTGCAAACTATAAGGGACTGGTTCTCTGAACACTTTTGTCCAGTTAAATACTAAGTTATGAAACTCTTCCTAGGGGTGTACGTGGGTCGGTTCGTTTGGGTTTATATATTTTAATCACCTAACTCATATACCACGATTTTGAAAACACTAAATACAAACTCACCCAAATAATTTAAAATTTTAACAGTTTGTATCCTCCATACCAAATCAACCAATTTACATGTCGCTTAACTAAGGACGATCTCATTGTCCAATCCGATCATTCTAATGTCAATCCATAAAAGTAACCCATATTGACATTTGTTAACACATGTTTCACATTGTCATTACTATGACCGGTAAATTTGTTGCAACTGATTCGGTATTGCTCATCATATGGCCTCCAAACTGATAAACATATCGGGCCAGCAGTTTTATGACAAAACTCAAAGTGAAGTCAACTCATCGTCTGGTGGAATTTTGGCGCTTGTTGGTGTCCATTAATCTAATTGCAAGCATAATGATTGCTAAAATTAAGCTTTCACACAACATACT